CCTTCCCTGGTGCCCACCAGGAAGTCAAAGCTATTCTGTGGAATGACATTATTGACTGTCTAATGGTTGTCGTCGATTTCGATGTGGCCCAAAGGAGGGCTGCTCTGAGGAGCGTTCTTCAACCTCTGCCTCAGTGCTAGGCCTGACATCATGTCGGGCCAACTTCTGGCAGAAGGCAGCATTACGAGCCCCGCCATCTCTCCCAGCCCTGCTGTCTTTGCTTTTGTTTTTTACCACGTCCTCGAATCTTTTTACTATGACTCCACAGCAGTTTACATTTTTTCTCTCCTTCCTTTTGTCTAACAGGAACTTAATGTTGTTTTTACAGGTCTGGGAGATTGTTCACTTTAACAGTTATTTTAGCGAATAAAAATCCCAGTGAGGTTCTTAGTTGTACGTTTGTTTCTGCTCCTAAGCTCCCTCCTAGATCATGTGAGTAGACTAGAACTAAGATTAGCTTATCCCACAGAGGTGGAAATGGCCGTTTTTCTTGCTTTACCTACAGATCATGAGAATAGAGTCGTCTGGTTTTTCAGGATAAATAGGAACGGAAAGTCCTAAAAGGGAATTTCTCATCTTCTCTTCCTGCCATCAACTTTGTCTTCTTTTTTCTCCCAGGTCGTGTCGACGCTGCTCATAAACATAATCCCAGAGGAGCACATCCCATTGAATTTATCGGGCAAGGCGAAGATCAGCGGGAAAGCCTGGGTGAAAGAGTCTCCTCGACCTGTTCCCGGCTTTAACCCCAACTCCATGTGCGAGTCCCAGGTACGGCTGCCTAGCCGTTTCAGCTAGAATCCCCTAGTCCCGGGTTTAGACAGATTGATTTAAAACAGAGAAATGGAGGCATGTGCACAGAAGCAGGTGTTGTAGCTCATATGAGAAGGAGTTATGCCCAACTTGGTATCAACTTTTGGTTTAGAAAGCGTCAGAGTTGATTGCTAGCATTCGGCCCTCTGTAAAACTTGGAACCACCTTAGAGAGGCTTCTGCAGCAGACGGCCTCTGGACTTGCTCTGCAAAGCTTGGAAATACAGAGCCTGTGTTTTTCCTTGAGACCCTTGAATGGCTGAAGATCATGAAACTGCTGTGAGGTTTTACTCCTGTCAGCTCCATGCCTTAGGAAGCAGGCCTCAAGGGGCAACCCCAGGGCAGCCAAACCCAGGCACAGTGCTGCTGTAAGAGAGCAAGACTGTGGCCCCACACTAAAGATTTCCAAAGCCTCTGCATGTTCTTGGTGGTATCCCCCTCACAAGTGCTTTGTTACCAGGTCTAAGAGATATTCCATTAGAACTGAAGCTGCCACTTTTCTTTCCCTTTACAGATTATATGCTTAATGCATGTTACATTTTGCAACCAGAAATCTTTCTTTTAATTAGTTTCTAATTCATTAATTCCACTTAGTGAAAGTATAAATTCAGACCTTAAAGAATGTTAGAATGTTACGTTGTTCTTATTTCCAGGGTGCAGAGGAGGGAGTACCTAAGCCAAGGTCATGGTTATAAAGTTTAGACTGTAAATGTTCTCATTTCTAGTCACAAAGTTTTTGTCAAGGGTACCTGATCTCGAGTCAGTATGGGTAGGTGGGATGAGTAGGACATATAAACACACTAAAATGTCTGTGTGTGTATGTGTGCTTGCACGTGTGTGTGTGTGTGATGTAGTCCCTGAAAAAAATTTTTTAATGGTCTAGATGTGCTCACCTCCTTTATTAAAAAAAAATGCGTCCAATTATACTCTTCTTCTTTCTATCAAAGACGAGGTCGGTTACAGTGCAGAGACAGACACAAGAAGGTTAATAAACCAGAACGAAGGGGAGGGGTGGCTCACAAGAGGCGTCACCTCCAGCCCAACATTGGTGGCCCTCCCTTCTGCAGGTGATCATCAGGGAAGGGGAGCTGCTCTGCGGAGTGCTGGACAAAGCGCACTATGGGAGCTCTGCCTACGGCCTGGTCCACTGCTGCTATGAGATCTACGGAGGGCAGACCAGTGGCAAGGTTCTCACCTGCCTGGCCCGACTTTTCACTGCCTACCTGCAGCTATACAGAGGCTTCACCTTGGGTAAGTGGCAGATGAGTGGCCCTGGGGGCCCCTCTCTTGGCCAGCATGCCCACCAGGATGCCTCCCACCTCTACTAACAGCCTCCAGGGAAGCAGCCAGTCTCCTTCTACAAGGATGTCCTCACTTGACAGCCTTGCTCCTTGTTAGTGCTTTCCACCCCTCCCTCACAACCAGTGTTTCTTCACTATCTACAGTGCAGAGTGACCTTCTCTGTCCCCATTTCCATTCTGTCTTTTTCTCAATCCCACCCTTTACAGTTTTCTGTCCCTGAGTTTGATTTTTCACTCACACTCATCTCCATTCTCCCTTGTAAGTGCCCTTTCAGAATTCCCTGGCCATTCTGCGTTCTGCAAAGAGTTTTCCCTGTTGTCAAAACTGGCCGCACCTCCCAGCACAGTGCGGGCATCGATGCTGTTGGAATCGCCATGTTGGGGCAGGCCTATTGATGTGATCCTCAGATAAGCAGAAGACCTACCTTGTTTCCTCCCTGGAAATGAGTGTGCACTGTTTTAGGAAGTTGACTTTGAAGAAGAAAACAAGTGAGCTTTTACTTTCTGTGCACTGGGTAGAATTGAGATCAGAAGTTCTGCTCAAGGGCTTGGCCTCTAGTTGATCTTATTCAGGGTGGCGCATCTCTGAATACATGGAGTGGAGCCCAAGCCCTTCTGCAGTGATCCTGTGAGGAGTAAGTGACATACTACACATTGAGCATGAGCTAGTGAGTGGGAATTGTCTAGTCGATGATACCATTAGTGGTGGAAGTGAGACTACTCTGTGGATTTGCTTGAGTGAAGGCACAGTGAGAGTCCCACCATGGGGCCAGAGGGCCTGCCACAGCCGAAGTGTGTTCATTGGCCTGCAGTGGGGCCTGCATAATTGTATAATATGTGTATTAATTTTAGAAAAGTCTAAATAAATACAAACGTGAAAATAATTTAAAATCACCCGGCATTCAGTTGCCAGAGGTAACCACCAATATTGATTTGATGCGCATCTTTCTGGACATTTCAAGTGCAAACACATTCAGAAAAAATGGGATCCTATGCTACCTGCTGTTTTGTAATCTCTAACCTCCCCCCCGCCCCATTTGCAAATATATTCGTAAATAACCTTTTGGGTGAACTAATATAAATCTACATCTTCAGGTCTGTGGCTACAGATTATTCCAGTTGTGTATATGTACTATATTTAACTGGTTATTAATCATTTAGGCTGTTTCTTGGTTTTCACTTTAATACCGCATGAGTAACCTTGGACAAATATCTGTAAAAAACACAAAGTAAAGGAAGATCCCCTGCCCAGGTCATAGTGAGCATCAGCCCTAACAAATAAGTCCTGCTCGCTTCTCCGCTTAGCACATGGCACCAAGAGGAATTGGCCCCTGCGTGCAAAGAGCACCCTGATGCCTCCAGGCTGGGAGGGGAGTGGGGCCAAGCTGGGCATAGAGCTCTGAGGGAAGGGCGGGCTAGAGAAGTTTTCTTCACTCCAGCCCTCATAGCCAGAGGGGTCAGTGAAGGGCAAGGAAGTGTCCTGGAGGTGACCCCATGGAAGGACCTGTTATTGTGGCTCCCTCACAGAGGGACTGTTTCTTCCCCCTCCCACTCACACGTGTTCTTTAGAGGCCCTCAAGCGTCCAGGACATTGCATCGGGGGTTCCAGATATTTCAATCCAGCTTTTGAACAGTGTAGCCATTGTTTTCCTTCCCACTCAGATCTTGGCTGAGGGACTTTTGACTCCAGTATACAGATATAAACAGAAAATAGTTGGTTGAAAAATGAAGTGGAAAGACGTCCTCCCAAAGTGAGGAATTCCTCAGCTATGGAGCCAGAAGGACAGCCTTAACAGAAATGACTCAGGCTTCCATCCTGGGGAGGAACTTATAACGGTAGTCCCTGCCACCAGGCTCGAGTGTGCCAGTGTCTGTATCTGTACATCCATCCTCACAACTCTGTGAGGTGGTCCCTGTGACACGTGACTTCTGGGAATCAAAACTGAGAAGTTCTACCCCTCCCTCTCTTCTTTTCCTAAACTCAGTTTTTCTCCAAAACCTCTTCCTCACCTCTAGCCCATTCATCCAACATATATTTATTGAGTAGAGGCCATAGAACTGATGACTAAGAGCACAAGTTTGGACTTGAGCCTGGGTTTACTTTTTAGCTATGTAACCCTGGGCAAGTGACTCAAGTCTGAGCCTTAGTTTTGTCGTTGGTAAAATGGAGAGTATAATGTTTGGCCTCATAATTGCTTAAGAGATGGGAGCACTTAAGAGATGGTAGCAGTCTCTTCAGGATGTTAATGTCATCATAATTCAGGTGCTCCCGGGTGTGCGACGCTACCCATGCCCTGCCCTCACTGAATTTACGTCCTCTGAGAAGTCAGGCCTTGTCTGTTTCACTTTGCAGGCATGGAAGACATCTTGGTTACACCCAAGGCAGACGGCAAGAGACACAGGATCATCGGCGAGTCCACCCACTGTGGGCCCCGGGTGAGGAGGGGCTGGGAGGCCACGGCCTGCCTCAGAGGCTCATCTTTCCTGCAGAGTGAAACCCACACCCTCCGCACTTGGCTGCTGCCTCCAACGTGTTCCTTTTCTCATTCTAGGCTGTCAGGGCTGCCTTAAACCTGCCAGAAACTGCATCATGTGATGAGGTCCGAGGGAAATGGCAGGATGCCCATCTGGGCAAAGACCAGAGGGATTTTAACATGATCGATCTAAAGTTCAAGGAGGAAGTGAACCATTACAGTAATGAGATTAACAAGGTTAGTCTGGCAGTGGGTACACTTATCACCACCATTTTGAATGCTGGTTTTTTAAAAAATTACATTTTGATTCTCATTTGGGTCCCTTCAGAGCAATTTGGCTATTTAACAGCTGACTAGGTGAGATGTGAAGTGAGATGTGCAAAATCCATTTTGAAGAGCCAAGGGCTTCATTCCCTCACCCAGTTAGGGTCAGGAAAGGTCTTCACCTAATACTGAGAGGGAATGCTTTGCACTGTTTTTCTTTTTAAGTGTTCGTATTTTGGGGGTGACCACATTAAAGGGGACTGAAGAAAGACTTTCCTATAGTGCCACTGCTGGGTAGAGGAGCAGAATGAAGGACCCAAAATACCATTGCTGCATATATAGTGGAGCCAGGGGCAAGGACCTGGATTTAAATCCTATCTCTGATGTTTATTTACTTTGTGACCTCAGGCAAGTGATATAACCAGTCTGTGCCTTGGTTTTCTTAAGTGAAGGTAGGGAAGTGAGGAGCACCTACCTCATTGGGTTGCTGGGAGGATTAAAGACCGAACCTACACAATGCTCTTGGCATGGTGGGCGTACCGGGGAAGTCCTCCAGAGTCCCTGTCTGCTTTTCCACCAAGCCATTTCCAGTGCAGTTAAGAAAGAGGAGGGAAATCCCTACAGGAGCCAAGACCACAGTCTGGTTCTCTCTACCTTATCGTCCCAAAGTTCGGACTTCCTGTCCTGCGACTTGAAGCCACCAGCCTGACCCTCACCCTGCATCCTAGAGAAAAGGCCAACACTCCACAGAGCCAATGTTTGCCTGTGATATGTTCTTGACTGTCTTTCAGCAGCCCTTAGGCTGCCAAGAACACGAACCTCTCATTGGTACAAGCTCGTCTTTGAGAGGTTTTGTTCAGAGGAACCTTCACCGAGAACCTGGAGGCTCAGTTTTCAGGGTTGCCTGGGAATGCTGGGTTGGGGCATTGTCCCAGAGACATCTTAGAATTGCTTCTTGTCCCTCCAGCCCCGCTCTTACCACCCACTCTGCCTTTTTTCCACTCTGCCTCTTCTGCATTGGGCTGGGTCTCTGCAACCCTTGGCAGAGGCTTAAATAGACTTAGCCCCCTCCCAGCATCTCCCCAGGTTCAGCTTCAGGGCTTGGCCTGCTTGCACTGGCTCTGGAGCTGAAGCAAGCCTCCCACATGATGCTCAGGCAGCATGTTGGTAAATGCGAATATGATAAGAGACATTGATCATCATTGCCAGGTGTTTAGGAACCAAGGCCATGCTCTCCTGGGTAATTTTCAAGGTTATTGCCTTAAATATATTTTTTAATAATTAACATGTTTTTAATTGACAGTTGGAATATGATATTATGTTAGTTTCAGTTGGATAACATATTGATTAGACATTATATAACTTACAAAGTGATCACTTCGATAAATTTAGTACCCATCTGACACCGTACATAGTCACAATACTACCAACTATACTCCCTATGCAAATACTTTACATCCCCGTGACTATCCTGTAACTACCAATTTGTACTCCTTAATCCCTTCCCCCTTTTTCACTGAACCCCAACTCCCCTCCTATCTGGTAACCCTCTAAGTGTTCTCTGTATCTATGAGTTTGTTTCTGTTTGTTTGTTTGTTTGTTTTGTTCTTTAGATTCCACATGTACATGAAGTCATATGGCATTTGTCTTTCTCTGTCTGACTCACTACACTCAGCGTAATACCTTCTAGGTCTGTCATGAAATATCTTTTTCTATCCCTTTACTTTCCATCTGTGTGTGTCTTTTAATCTGGGCAGCATATGTAAGGGTCTTGTTTTCTTATCCGTTTAGCCATTTGATCTTTTGATTGGATCATTTAATTCTTTTTCATTTGAAGTACTTATTGAGAGATATGTAGTTGTTGCCATTCTTTATTTATATTTTCGATACATATTTTTTTCTTCTTCTTAAAGACATCCCTCCAACATTTCCTGTAATACTGCCTTCGTGATGATGAACTCCTTTTGCTTCTTTTTGTCTGGAAAGCTCTTATTATTCCTTCGATTGTAAATGATAGCTTTGCTGGGTAAAGTAGTCTTGGTTGTAGGTCCTTGCTTTTCATCACTGTGAATATTGCCTGCCAATCCCTTCTGGCCTAAAGAGTTTCTGTTGAAAAATCAGCTGGAAAGTCTTATGGGAGCTCCTTTGTAGGTAATTAACTGCTTTTTTCTTGTTGCTTTTAATATTCTCTCTTTGTATTTAACCTTTGGCTTTTTAATTATGATGTGTCTTAATGTGGGCCTCTCTGGGTTCATCTTGTTTGGGACACTGTGCTTCCTGGAGTTGTAGGTCTATTTCCGTCATTATTTCTTCTAATAGATTTTCAATTCCTTGCTCTCTCTCTCCTCCTTTTGGTACCTCTATGATGTGTTTTTAAGCTTGATGTTGTCCCAGAGGGTCTCCTTAAACTATCCTCATTTTGGGGGATTCTTTTTGTTGCTGTCCAGATTGGGTGTTGTCTGCTACCTTATCTTTTAAATCATTGATTTGATCTTGTTTCATCTAATCTACTATTGATTTTTCCTAAGATATTCTTCATTTCAGTTATTATATTCTTCATTTCTGACTGGTTCCTTTTTATGTTTTCTGTCTCCACTTTTATGTTTTCTGTCTCTTTGTTAAAGTTCTCACTAAGTTCATCTGCTCTTCTCCTATATTCAGTGAGCATCTTTATAACCAGTGTTTTGAACTCTGAATCTGGTAGATTGCTTTGTCTCCATTTTGTTTACTTCTTTTTCTGGAGCTTTATTCTGTTCTTTCATGGCGACATATTTTTTTTCTTATTATTTTTCCTGCCTCCCTGTGTTTGTTTCTATGTATTAGGTAGGGCTGCTATGTCTCCCAGTCTTAGTGGAGTGGCATTATGTAATAGGTGTACTGTGGGGCTCAGTGGCACAGTCTTTCCTGTCCACCTGAGCCAGGTGCTCCAGGTATGTCCCTTGTATGGGTTGTGTGCCCTCCTGTTGTAGTTGAGCCTTGGTTGCTGTTTGCACATTAATGGGAGGGATTGACTCTCGGGCCGATTGATTTTGAGGACTGGCTATTAAGTGGCCACCTTACAAAGCAGGATTTAGTAGGGCTCTGGTGTGTGCCCAGTCTGCCTTTTGGGTGTATCATCCTCAGATATGACCCTAATGGTGCTCCAGCTCAGACCAAAGCTGACCACTGCATATACAGGCCAGGGCCTCCTGGGAGGGGCCCTGCCACAGGCCAAGTTCAGCTGCAGCCTGTACCCTGCCCAGGGCCACCTGGCATGAGCCACCAAGTAGTCCATAGATGGCCACCACCCACGCTGGGCTTGGATGTGCCTCAAGAATCCAAGCCACAAACTGAGACTGGCTGCTGCTAGTGCCAGGCTGCTCAACAAGAGATACAGGGCACACCAAGGCCAGATGCTGCTCTTTTAGGTTTTGTGAACCTTTATGAGAGTTTAAGAAAGTCTATAGCATGAGCCAAGACAGGCCATTTGTATGGAAAATCCACATGTGCTGGCCCCTCTGCTTCTCCCTTTTTGCTGCCCCAGCGACAGGAACCTCAGGCTTCATGACAGAGAGTATCAAGAGCAGAACACGTGGCCATTGCTAGACTTCTCTCTAGGGGATCTAGCAAGAGAGTTGATGCCAAATGAGATGTCTTCTTAACTCAAGTGGGGTTTGGCACTTATCTCTGAATAGTCTGAGTTTGTTGCCTCCACATTCTGGATTTACCTTGAGACTTCAAAAGGGGGTGAGGTCACTGACCATTGTATTTATTTAATCCACAGGCATGCATGCCTTTTGGCCTGCACAGACAGTTCCCAGAGAACAACCTGCAGATGATGGTGCAGTCTGGAGCCAAAGGTTCAACTGTGAACACCATGCAGGTGTGAGCAAAGGCGGGCTGGCTGATTTGCTAGAGGGTGGGGTGATAGCAAGAGTTAGTTTTCAGATTTGTTTCTGATTTTAAAAAGATCCACATTGTATATAAAACATGGCAAGTGCTGGAAAATAAAAAAGCATGCAGAAAAGAGTATAGAAGCTAACCACCATTAACACCTCAACATTATAAACAAACAGATATAAGTATCTAGATAGTGATACGTATAATATAGGTAGATATTATAAATTTATATACTGTATTATCATATTACATATATTCACATTATATAAAACACTGTATGTATATGTATATATATAAAATCTTAGCTTAGACCCTGTAATTTTGCATAATCTGCTTTTTCCTTTTAGTATTATGTTATACGTGTTTCCTTAGAGGTATCTAACCCTTAATTTGAGGCCTCTTATCTCCTCAGATTATTGTAGTGCTATGGCAGCATTTTCACAGTTCTTAGTAACTTTTTTTTTTAATCTTGACCTTGAGAGAGTCTTAAGGACCATCTCATTGTTTGGTGAGTTGAGAGTCATAAGAATGGGCTTAAAAGGGTGAAGGCCATCAGAAAGCCTGTTTTGACTAAAGTAAAATCTGGACACACTACTCTTCCCCCTCCTCCCCCCGCC